CATAGGATTTGTAGAATAGTTTTTATTTCCTTTTCGACAGACCTGTATCAGTTTTGGTTTTTTATTTTCATAAGGAAATGCTTGAAAGTCCAGCATTGCATCAGGTTGTATATTAGCGCTATGTAATCGTTTTCCTGCTTCTTACACACAATCGATAAAAACTAAGCTACTTAGGAACAGGAAAACCCCTTTCAAATTGTAGTCTGAAGTGTCTAGTCTATTGTTCCTGGATCACCTTTACAGAGAAATGTAGAAGTTTTGAAAACTGAAGTTTGAACACAATTTCTTAAGCAATTTCAATTATTTTATTTCCTGAAGAAGTGTTTTCGTGTTTCTGTTTAAATATAAGCTTTGTTAACTAGGATCACTTATTTTTCTTCCAAATTTGTTGAACTGTATCCTTTCCGTTTCTGCTCAGCAAAAAGTAGTTAAGTATCTATTCTGAAAGGCAGAGATGAAAGTGTAAATTCTGCAGTACTTAGCAGTCCATTTGAAGATCAGGTCACTTTTTCCACCTGCTTTTAGCAAGAGCAATGGCAAAACTGACTACTCTCAAAGAACACAAAAAAAATCTAATTTATTCCTACAAATTATTTCTGGTTATGCTATTCTTGAGTATTTATTTACATCTAGAGCAGGGCCAAACTCTGAAACAGATGCCTGAAGATTTTTTTAAACCATTTATATATACCAGGAAATTCTAATGAATTTTGTATGAAAACAGATGTTTGTGGATAAAAAAACCTTTTTGTTTGTTTACACATATTTCACCAAAAAAATCTGTTTAATTTGTTCTTAAAACATTGAGCCTGAAAAATGGAGAGGCTGGGGCAAAAGGATTTGCTGGGCCTTTTGTCTGAAATGCACCTAGGTTTGTTTGTCTGTTCAGGGGGCTGCTTAGCATTTAGGAGGAAGAAAGCTGTTCTTTAATTCAGGTATGAAAATGCGCAATACTTTATATCAATTATTTGGCTGATTGCTAAAAGTGCGTTGGAGTGAGGGGGCATTGGCTAGTTCTGGCCTTCACTAATGGGAACATTTCAGAATGTGGAGGAGTAATTAAAGTATAGAATGCGGAAAATTAGGCCAAAATTGAATAGAAGTGAGTAAGTATGTGTTCTGTTGTGCAGATGTTGGAAGCAGATTATTTTGGATACCTCTTTCTATCTACATCTTATTTGGTTACCTGTATGACTGCAAAAATCAGTCATACACCATGTAGATTGTTTCTCTTCCCATTGCCTTTTCTGTTTTTGTGTTGTGATGTATCTGTATAGGTAGTAATTTAGCAAAATATCCTGTCTGCCAGGTGTGGGAACTAGCTGATTGTATTGTAATACCAGATCATTACTTAATTCATATGCAACCTAGCCTAGCACATGGAAAGCATTATAAATCTATTTACAGTGTGGCTGGTCTGATGATAACATTGTATTAAATTCCCAGGTGAGGCAATTTAAGCAATTGCTTTGCCATGTGTAGGCCATGGAAATTAACTTCTCATATGCTTTAGTAATAGACGAACTTCATTGTTATGCTCAGATTAGTAGTATAGCAGAATTCTTACAGTCTGGTTACATGTACCCTACTTCACATGTAGAATCATACAGGGGGGTGGTTCTGCAGATCACAGATCTTAATTAGTTTAAGCTGAGTTAATTCATTTCAATTCTAATTTAGCTGTGCTTGCCCATGAACACATTCAGTTCTGTTGGGAAATGTTAAAGCTTGGGTCAAGTAGACAGATTGTTTAAAGCCAAATTGCCAGACAGAACTGAGCAAGTGTATCTGTTTGAACAGGGCTTTAAGAAAATCACCCAATCAGTATGCAAAAATCCTGTTCATAAACCAAGAGAGATCTGCCTGGAATCAGAAATTCTTCCTTGTCAGAAGGTCTGGGTACTGTAGTACATTTAAAACAGCCCCTGAAACTTTCTCTGTCTTGAAGTTCTTGTAGAGAGTAGCTTAACCCTTTTGTGTCGTCGTGTGTTCTTGTGCATGCTACATTTGAATGCAAACATGTACACTGAGTTAAAAAACACCTGTGTGCTTAGACTTTTTGTCTATGTATATATAAAAAAATACAAAATACAAGGAAAACTTCTATATATGACAGACCTTTACAGACAAAAAAACTGCACACAGAACCTCTTAAACCTATATTGAGCTGCCCAGAAATGCCTTGATTTACAAACTCTGTAAAGCTTCTGTCTTTTCTAGAAACATACATATAAAGTACCAGTAGACAGTGGTAACTGACAACTAAGACAAAAAATGTTGACAATTTCTTGATTTGCCTGGTTAGCTTATGTATAGAAGTCATTAACTATTTATAAAATGCATTATGAATTGGGTTCCTTCAAACTGTAGCAGAGTGTGTGACATTTCCAGCTCAAACTATCATTCTTGCATTTGGCTAAAGTACATATTTATAAACAGCTGATAGTTACGAACTAAAAAAAAAACCTAAAAATTATTTAATTACTGAGTTTGGACAAACTGAACTAATTTTGATAGCCACATTTAAAAGTGTTAGCCAATATTACTTTAATAAAAATAAGAATAGTAATTCAAGTTATTGATATTTTGGATAAGTCCTGAAAGAACAAATGAACGCTTTAGTTCAAAGGCCTTTCCTTTTATATTATTGATTCATTTGGTAGTGAAACTGTGATCAAAAGTAGTATCAAATTATTTATTGATTATGGCAAAGAGTTATATCTAATTGTAGTCAAAGGGTTATTTCTTTTAATATAATTGCTGATTTTCAGATCATGACAGATTATTGCAATAAAAGAACAATGATACAAATATATTTATTAAGTTCAGTCATGATGATATAGAGGATATAAAGGGCCTCTAAAAATTGTATTGCTATTAACATTTATTTCTTTCCCATGAAGAATATTCTTTTTCCTTTCTTCCATGCAGGCTCTTATGAATGAGAATATCAGCCAGTTAAATCTTTCAAATAAATTATGTGTAACCAAGGACCATCTCAGTCTCTACATATAATTAGGCAACTTGTTCACTGGAGAACAAGCTTATGAAGCATTACGCTCCTCATCTCAGTCTAATAATGATAAATACATTCAACACTAACAGAATCAATGGGGCTGAGTCATTTTGTGAAATTGGGAGAGACTGTACAGTTGAACTACTAGACCTCAAATGGGAAGATTGAATCTTAATCAGAAAAGAAGATTAGGTATTTATGGGTATATATTTGTAATTTCCTTCCTTGTTTGATGTGTATCAAATAAAAATAGGAAAATAATATAATTGAGCAATCTATGCCAATTTGTTGGCTTTTGGTGAAAAAAGAGAAAAACAAAACCTATCTCCATATGATATTCTTGCATACTGTGGAGTGTTTTAGTCCCCCATAGTGATGAAATGAATAATTTAAACAGGCAACTCTGATACCACAGCCTGTTTAAAGGTTCTCATTTCCTTTAATGCTGTAGACTTCTTCAGCTTGGTTAGTATGAAACTGTGACAGCTGAGATCTCCAAAAGATTTGGCACAATTCAGCTCTTGTAGTAGGTCCGTGGTATGCTTTGTCCTTGCTACGTACATCTGTAGCTTCAGTATATAATCTAGATCCAAACACGAGCAACTGAATCACAAATTGGTAAGCATTGTAACGATGATGATGGTAATAAAGGGTGAACTACACAGGATAAAAAGCTAAAATGTATTGCTCTGAGATGACCAATACAAGGCTTACTCCGCTGCTAGGTTCCTAGCGTAAGGGGTGACCTGCTTCCAAACTTCTTTGTCACAAAGGTAATGAATTTCCCTCTGCTCGGTATAATTTCTAGTGGGTTGTTTGCTGTGCCCCAGTACCAAGCATGTTTTTTGGCATGATTGACCAATTAGGGAAGGTTTGAGGAGGGATTTGTTTTTGCTGAGTTCCTACTGGTAGTGACTACCACGGCAGAGTGTGAGGGAAGCTCCCATCAATAAAGGAAGGCACTATGGCTTAGTTCTTGCTACTCTTGGGTTTCTTCCTCTGATGAAGTGTAAAATTGATCATAACTGCACTCAAATATAAAAAGATTTTAGACAATATGTTAAAAATCCTTTCTCTCTTTTAGTGATGAATGTAGGAATATTAACTGACTAAGGACCTGTTACTTGGCCAACAAAGAAATTGAAAGCTGGGCTGATGTTCTCTTTATGGACTTGTTCCATTGAATGTTGTGCTACCTTGGTAATCTTCAGACATCTGCTTTCCATTGCTCGGCACTTGATCTAGTTTAGAATCAATATGATGATCAGTTCATGAGCAAATCTGGTGCTCATAAGCTGTGATCTGATGAATGACTGTCTCAGTTTTGTGGTGTTTCCATGAACTACTGCTGTAAACCAATGTTTCCTCGTACTGCTGTTTTCTCTGCTTTCTTTTGCCCTTTGATTTCTGGTCCTTTCCCTGTAGGCCTTCACAGCCTTAGCAGCACAGGAAACACTTGTTAATTTTCTACATCTTTAAGTTCAACCAGTTTTGTCAAATGTGTGTTGTTCAGGTTTTTGTTTTTTCATATGGGAAAAGCTCACTCTTCCTTTCCTATTTAATGGCATTACTGCAGTGTTACTCTGGGTTCTGCGTCCAGCTAGCTAGTGTTCTTCAGAAAAATACATTTGGTTCCTACACATGCGTTTCTTCAATGCTTCTGATATTAGTGTATATTGCTTGTCAAGGTTACCTGATTATCAGAACTGGGATCACACATTACGTACCTTGAGCTTCACTGAAGCTGCTTTCATTGCCGAAAAGTTGAGGATGTGACTGTCTTAGAAATGCTAAGCTTTTGCCATGCAGATTTGTCAAAATACAGCAGTTGAACTTTTTAATAACTTTTATTTGCGGATTATTTTTTTTTTTTTTATATCAAATAGGTATCCATTAGGGGGCTCTCGAGGTTTAAGATGATCAGCCTTGATACCAATGGCTTCGGAGCTTTACTTCCTAACCCTTTTTTCTTTTTGTTTTACAGAAAAGGTCACGGATCGCCTACAGTGATGAGGTGCGGAATGAGCTCCTAGGGGATGACGGGAATTCCTCAGAGAACCAGGTAGGATGCTAATCAAGAAGCCCTAGTGGGTGGCTGGAGGGTGAAGGAGGTCACTGGCACACTGGGCTTCTCAAGCTGCTCCTTAACAGCATTAGCAACAACTCATGTGGAAGTGATACTGTTTAATGCAAAGCTGGGGTCTTAATCAACTTCAAAATGTTTCTTGGAGATCTTACATTTAACCCTTTAACTTGTGATCACTGTCTGCTATCTTAAAAAAAAATCTTTTCTTCTCTTTTCTTTATTATTTAGTACTTAAGAAATAACTTGAAACGCACTGTTTGCCGACAAAGCCAAGGTCTTCACCTCAAACACATGTAAAAGGAATAAAAAAAGTACATAATGCAGCTTTGATAATAATGCAGTATAATTAAATCAACACTGGCAGGCAAAACAAATGAAAGTGCGCTCTCAGAATTAGGGAGTACCCCACTCAGTTTCCTTGTGTGATTCCTTCCCTAAACAGATTTTCTTTCCTTGTACCAAAAACACAAGTTGTACTAATAAAAGCATGCTTTCATAATGCATGTTGTACTAGAATGCAGAGTGCTATCCATCTCTTTTAATGAAGGAAAGCTTGATAATCCTGAGGCTTTTTAAAAATCTTGTACCTGTATTGTTCTGGACACTACAGTGAGGATCCTACTAGACTACTGAAAATTGGAAAGGCAACATTATATTCAGGGGAATTTGACCCACCTGTTAATATTTCTTTTGGTGCTGAAACTTGTTTGACAAGCTGTGTCTGAAAGCAGAATGTTTCTTTTCTTTTTGCAAATCATGTCAGCTATAATGAAAGTTGTGCATTCTAAGTTAGAAGTTAGTTGAAAGTTTTCTTAAATGTCAGATTTTCTCTTCTGACCAGATAGAATTTAAATTATTTTGATAGTGAAAGTGAAGCTCATTTAAATGTTACTTGATAAATGCAGTATTAAATAAGGAAATGGAACAGAACCACATTCTAAAATTTTTAGTATCTTCTACCCTCAATATAAGCTCTGTTCCACTAAGGATTGGAAAAAAGAAAGACCTGGAGACTTATCCCAGTACAATGAATTTTAAAACACAGACTCCTTAAGCCTTAATCTTATACAGTATTTTAAATGTGCTGTGTAAGTTTTAAAGTCTGTAATAGACTTTAGTACATACATTAATGAAATTATACACAGCATACAATATATCTGTAGACTCTGTAGTGTACAGCAGCTGTAGTATCTATATGAAGGGTCAAATTTAAAAGATATTAATCTTCATATTTATATGTCATAGCAAGGGAAGATTCCAAAATTTGAATAAAATAACAAGGGGTTTATATCTCTAAGCAGTGAGCTTATGGAAAGGATGATTTCAGGGAAAAGAGTTTCGCAGTCTGCACGTCATGATCGTAAACTCAGTCCTGTGAAAGTGTTAAGATTCACATTTTATTTCTTTTAAGGTGCTGCTATTTTTACATTTCAAGAAAAAATTGTGTGAATTCAAACATAAAAGGGCAATTGTGATAAGAAGCTTTACTTGTAACAGAATACCCTATGTGTAGGGGTGAGATAAAATATTTTATTTTCGCTTTTTAAGGAATGGTTAAATAACTGGTTCACATGCACTTTTTGCGAGTTATGATCTTTTTTCTAAACTTGATGGAAGCAACATGGTCTCATCTCAAGGAACCAAATGATACTTTCAGCCATTTGTCAACGTGAGTTTTTTCTTCTAAATGTCCACTTTTTAAATGGAAGAAAATTTTGGGTGGTAAAGGAGTTTATGTAGTAACCCAGCTTGAAATTGTTACCCCCATACCTTTGAAAGTTCTGAATTTTTTTCTTTTCTTCCTTGAAAAATGTTATGAAATATCACCATAAAGGAGTCAACTAACTTCTTTTAAATATGTGAATGCCAGTATTTTTAAAAATATTATTGTGTTGTTCCAATAATCAATATTACAGTCTTTTTCTTACAAAATATCATTATTTATATTTGTACTTATCTTATATGCATGTAGTTATGGGTACAAGCAGTTAGTGCAAGAACTTCAGTCTGATGTTGAGCTTATCAGAACGTGCAGCTATCCAAATCAAGTGTAAGGTTTGGGTACTTATCATCTAGTGAACATGTTATCTTGATGTATTTAACTCAGTAACTCCAGGCCTAATACACTTTCGCTCTTGCACATTATAATATTAATAGAAAGCTTGAACTAGATGATGAAAGGACGCCCAGGTATAACTTACAGCTGTCTAAAATATCTGAAGATGTTTCAAATTCTTGCTTTAATTTTGTCTGATGGAAATAAATATAGGTAGATGGACTGACCCTCACTCCAATCTTATGGGACTTTCACTTACCAATCAGTGTGGGTTAGGTTGAGTTAAACTGGAAGGTGGTGTGGTTTTTTTCCCCCAGTTCAGTCACCAAACTTTGAAAGAGGAGAGGAGAGGAGAGGAGGGATTCCTCTTCTGACAAAGGAGTTTGTTGAAAAAAGTTGCCAGCTCAGAATTGCTCCTGTACCAATCCATAAATACTAGTAAAATCTGCCAATAGAAATGCTGAATATCTATTCAGCATTTAGACTGGGGTTTTATGCAAGGGAAACAAGAGATATGAGCTGTGCATTTTAGGTATGGTCTTTGTCATCATGATAAACATTTGCAAAACATTTTTGGTGGAGGGAGAAGACGAAAAGGAACTTGATGTATACTGGTTAGTACAACCATATTAAGTATCTAGAAATAAATGGAGCACAATTTGGATCCTTTCTGTATTCAACTTCTGTTTTTTGAGTTGAGTTTCAAAGGTACAGTTACAGCAAAACACAGCCAAGTTATAAGCTGTAATGAATAGGGTCATGGGTATGAGTTTCCAGTTGTTCTCCCAAGCAGAAAGCTTGAAGTACAAAGAACAGACTGAAGAACTAGCAAATTATGATTGGTTTTTTGTCATCATCTTTTTTCCTAAATGTCTCCCATAAGTAGCTGTCATCAGATGTAGATGACAACAATGTAGAATACCGTGGCCTTATAACAATTATACCAAGATTTAACTAATTTTACCAGATAAAGCATATAGAAACTTCTTGTAAGAAGTTATAAGAATCATACAATGCTGCTATTCAAAGCTTTTTTTTTTTAATAAATGCATCTTTTTTTAATGAGATAAATAGTGGCATAATGTTCTTAATGCATTTAGGGTTTAGTAAAGTCATTGCTTAATATACATTAATTTATTCTTAATTTGAATCAGGTGAATGTAGTCAGATGAGGCACATACAGAGGTTGAGAATCAGGAGACATCCCTTCTCCCATCAAAAAAACCCCACCTCACAACCCCAAACCCAAAAACCTACTGTGTGCATTGGGTTGTTATTTATTTTCCAGGAGTGGTCTTAAACGACTCTGTTACTTTCAAGTCTTATTTGTCATTCTGGCCACCAATGTTTATCAAACCCCTTGAAAGTTTTGAGCTTTTCAGTGCAGTGATACACTACTTAAAGTTGTGGCTTCACTTTAATAATCATAGAACTGTTTTGATTCATATGTTTTTTAGAAAGCTTATGTTGGGTTCAGTCAGAAATCCTTCTCGACCAAAATAGTGTCAGGTACAGTATTACCAACTTCCTTGAAATATAATAGTATTCCTTTCTCTTTCACAACTATGTTCATTAATAAGTTTAAATAAATTCGCATTAGATTAAATTGCGTGTCTGTATACACATACACTGTATATGTGATTTGTGGTGAACAAATATTTTGTGGCTACTTAATTTCTGACTACAAAGTTCTGATAATATTAGATTTGGGCTTGCTGTGCATAAAGTGTGTCAAACTTCAGCTACAGACCAGGGGGTGAAGTTGGTCAATTTAATTCCCCAAGATCTAAAGAAGGTCGGTATCATTTCATATAGCCCTGGCAGAGCAGATCATTACCAGACACAAATCTGTTCGTTACATGCCGAGGGTTTATAGCAAAATAAATAGACTGTCATCATAAGTTCAGAAAATTGTGTGTTCGACCCACGATAATGTGTAAAGGGCGTTTAATAGAGTTCAGCATTTATTCGTTATCTATATGCGGACAGAGACGGCGGTAGCGTTATCAGCTTTTTAAAAAAAATTTGGTAGTTTTCTATGTCACGTGATGTGCCTCACAGACATACACACACACACACGTGTGCGCGCACACACACACAGAGGCACACATCCCATCTTGCTCCCTCGCTCTCTGCGGCGCAGTTTTGATTTTAGTCACAGCAGAAGGCTTAGCCACAAGAGATTCCACTGGTTCAAACCAGCGTAAACCAGATTTTTTTTTTTAGCCTACAAAGGAACAGATTACCTCTTGTATCGAATTCTGTATTGCAAAAAAAAAAAAAAAAAAATCTTTGTTTCAAAAATATGCTGATTATCATAACCTAAAATGGTGGCTGCACACAGCTTAATGCTGTTTACAGTTGAGCGGTGAGCATTATAAAAATAATGTTTCAAAATAGAAAAGTAAAGGTAACGCATTTTCATTAAGAGCATTGTTAAATGGAGGAAAAATACATCTTTTGTTAATTTGAATGAGTATCTTTCAGCCAATGTTAAAAAAACCCAAACCCTCTCCCATTACTTAGCTTAGCTGCAAATCCCATGCAGAGCTTAAATTCAGCCATGCAGCACAAACAAGATAGAACATTTTTGTTTGGGACCTATTGAAAAAACAAATGTGCAGCATTTTAAAACTCTCATTGATTATAGCAGGGTGGCATGCCCAAACGGGCTCTATTGCGGGAGAGTAGTTTTAAACTTTGGCCCTTTAAGTATCATAGTCAACTGAAGAATGGTGGCCTCAGAAAGAAAAGATAGCTATGTGATCAACTCCCAGATCGTCTCTTTCTAAAAAGCCTTAATGTTTGCCTTTTTGGGGAAAAAAGGGGGGGGAAGATCTGGAGAAAGAGACCAATTTATGATAGGCCAAGCACTTGAATTTAAGCGCGGGTTTGGCGGACAATGCAGTTTTCTTTATACCAAATTCTAGCAAAGTTCTTTTAGCTATGTACTGAAGAGCCATTTCAGTTTAAGTCCGTGTGGTAGTAGCCCTCCTAATTACATCTAGTTAGAGCCTTGCTGTCCGTTTTGGTAACGGGGTGAGGCGTACGTTCAGTTTCAGATGAGCCATATGAAACAATAGAGAATCATGGAGGTTCTTTTGTTTCCTTCATGCTGGCGAGACTTTGTTAGCAGTAAACATTCTCAGCTTACACACGTGTTGAAAATTGTAGTGTTATGAAACTGTAGGTGAAGTATCAGCATAAACTGAGATAATGATGTAGCTGTTGTAATTTCGAATTCAACTGGAATCGGTGAGAGAACTGTAATTTTTTATAAAGAGCCACTCTTACGCAGACATTTGTTGTGAGTAATTATACGTTTTGTTCCAGTACAAATAATTTATCTGTCTCTCTAAGGGGAGAGAATATTACAACATAGCTTGATAATCAGACTGGGGATTTATTTGGTTTTATAGTAAACCTGCCAGAGCAATATTATTAACAGTGTTAGATTGTGTTGATTTACAAGCATAAATTGATAAATATAAATGTATATACTATGTAAGTATACACACACACACTATGTGTGTATATATACACACACTGTGTAGCGGTCTAGGATTAAGAACCTGAAATGGGTCTTTTCTGAGGGAAATATGTTTCATGTTGTTCCCTATTCCTTTGTCTATTTTTAAATATGCTGTGTAATAAATCATCATTCTGAGCCATGTAACTAAGCTGCTTCATTTTTTTTAACTGGAAAAAAAATCTATATGAGGTTCAATAATAAAATTAGATAATACAGTTACATTAGAACTTGGGTATATAAAAATTGAAATACTGGTTACATGCTATAAAGATGCAGTCATCTATTAGTAAGTTAAATCTGCTAGTAAAATAAGAAATCAGTTGTCACAACTAAAATATACAGAAAACATTCTGAAAACTTGTATATACAAAACCACTTCAGCTGTACAATCTTCGAAGAGAGGAATAGTAAACTTGTTTTTTTCTTTATAATATAGACTTCTATGAAGTCATTCCCCTTTATTTCATGATGGTGTCTTAGATGTGGTTTAAAAGAGAATTTCACACTATTCTCTTTGTTTAATGTGACAGTGTGAGAAAGTGATCTTTATTCGTTCAAAAAACTCTGCATGTAGTCTATGTTTAGGTTCTTTTAATGTGTTTGTCTGTGATTTTTAAATGCTAAACATGTAAACAGATAAATTGTCAATGTTAATTCTGTATCCTGTCACACAACTGATCTTTCTTTCCTGCCATTTCTTTCCTTTTTATCTTTTTTGTGCGTTCATGTTGCAGTTGATAAAATTACGTGAAGAGGTGAGTACTTTCTTGCTTTTTGTTGTCTAGCTTTCCCTTTAAAGCTGAGTTTCTAAATCTGAAGTAGATCTTTTTGTTCATTGTTGCAGGGAAATCTACACAAAGCAAAAATATTGATTACATTGCTTTAAAATATTCACTGTTGTGCCTCTTTTTCCCTAATAATTGTATACTTACATAGGAATCTCTAGATCAAACCTTGGAAATTAACATTCTTTGATAGTGGAAATTTTTTTTAAAGGCACTAGAAAAAGAAGGGGAAAAAAACCCTATTATTTGATCTCTGCTAGAAACCCATGATTAAATCAGATACAGTAATAATCATGTTTGCATCACAAAACTTTTGATAGGGTAAATACATTTATACGCTGGTATTGAAAGTGAAAGCATTGCTTTGGTAAAAACCTGTGCTGAAACACTGTAAGAATTACACAGTATTTCACAATGTTTTGAGTTTGGTGTGAGGTATTCAAGTAGCTTATGTATTATATTGGATATTGTACACCCACTGAAAATACAGTACAGGTAGACCTACGCACACATATCAATATTTATTATTTATTTGTGAGTGCTGTAGATCTGTAGGTGTAACACTAGAGATCAGTATTCCAGAACACCTTTCTTCCAGTTATAAAATGACTCATAAATATTTAGAGAGAGAAGCCTGTTTTAATGGTCAGTTCCTCAAATGTTTCAGTATATTTTCTGAAATTAAACTCCTCTGTTACTTACTGCTGTAGCAAAGCAGGTATCTGAACTGCTTTTTTTATTATTTCCTGATAGCTGCCAAAAAGAAGGTCTCAGTAAAGTCAAGATTACTTACAGGTCACATTTCTGAAGGGTTTCGTACAGAGAGTTTGAACCAGTGAAGTATTTGAATAAATATATTTAGAAGCACGAGTATTTTAACATCACATATTTGTCTGGTATCTTCTTTTTGAAACGTGTGCCCAGACATATCAGTAATGAATACTGAGCTCTGCAGGAAATGATTTGTAAGTTTTAGAAATGGTGATGACAAAGAATTGTAAAGTAACCAGATTAAGGACAATTACAGAGAATTCTTAAAAACAGTTAAGATATTTGTGATACAAAGATTCTTTCACTAGTTCCCTGAATGCTTTATTTTTCCCTCTTCTTGTGGAGCTGATATTAATATATAAACAGTTAACAAAAAAAATTAAACAAAATAAACATGTAACCACATGAAAGCCCTCCCACCACTGCTGAGCTCCCCTCCCCAATAGTCCCGGTATTTAAACAGATGACAATATTGTTGCAAAGGTTTGTATAGCCTGATTTCTGAGATTTTTCAGAAGAACAAGGTTCATTTGCTCATCCCTTTAACAACATCTGCACGTCTGCTCTTGTGCTTTTGTAAAAGAATGTAGTAGGATAATTTTTGCTTGCAAACATAGATTGTAGTTTTATAAACATAAAGATTTCTAATTTGTAAATTTACTCTGAAAATTTAATCAGATATAAAGAACAAAGCTGCTACTTAACTGCTCTTCTTTTTGAAATAGCTATGAAGGCAAATAAGAAAATTCAAGTTGTTATTGCAAAGGGCTGCAACTTGGGAGCTATACTGGACTCAGTCATACCTTTTGGAGCTTATAAATCTTCTTTGTTAGCCACCTAAAAACTTTTGACATTGCTTCTAGTAATCTTTATTGCTTTTCTTTGCTAGCCTCATAAGTTACTTTTTCCTCTCTCTGCATATAGTGAGAGCAGCAGCAAGTAGAACTAAATAAAGGGATTTATTATTTTGTCTAAATCAAAATTGTACAGGTAGAGAGAGAAATAATTTAAAAACCAATTGTTAATATTCTGTTCTCTGCGCTTAGGTACCCACTATGTGTTGGATAGGTTGTAATTGCAATGGTGTTTTTACACCCAATGCAAAATGCACATTGAAGTTTAAATGAAGGCTAGTACAGTGACTCAGGCATAATTCTTAACTTGTCACATAGTGAAACATCAAGGCATCCCCAATTATAGTTCTCCTAAGGAGGTATGAACTGATCTTAAAAGAAATTGTGGTTTGCCATACTGTTTGTTAATAAAACCTGCGCTTCCTCTCATTACAGGGCTCTATTCTAGCACACTTGCCGTACACAGGCTTCCATGGAGGCTGTGTCGCTCTGTCTTTTGAGCTCCTGAGTTCTCAGTTTGAATCCAGCCCACATGGAATAACTAAATCTCTAGTGATAGCATGCCACTTTGCAAAACTTCCTTATATAACTCCAGATAGAAGCTGTTTCTGAAGCCGCAAGACGCACTGAATCGCCTCGCTACCCACCTCACAGAGAGCGGGGGATACTGCGGGAGAAGGAGTCTGGGGAAGGGTGGGAAGCAGTTGAAAGCATCAGCTGCTACTGTAGGGCACTGATTTCATGACCGAAGGACGGGGTGCCTCTAAACCCAAACAATGTAAATAACACCACCCTTTATAATAAAAACGAGGTTTCATTATAGAATGGCCTGGGTGGAAAAGTTCTGAAATCAAGTAAGAAACAGCTCTGAGTTAATGTTAGCACTGAGTTCACAGGGCTTTATTATTCTAATGGCTCGCAGTAAGACAACTGAACTGTGGGCTTGTAATTTACTTTTTAGATTAAACGTGGCTTATATAGTATATAAAAATATACAGTTAAATGCTAATTTTTTCTGTTGGGTAGCTCTTCCACATTGTAATGTGAAATCTGATTATTCCCCCCCCTCTCCCTTAACGTAGCAGAATAGTCTTTTCATTTCCAGTACACCACTACAGCACTATACATCTGTTCTGTAATTATAATGTTCTACTCCTTGTGCTCACGCCCAGCCTGTGTTTTGGGTTGTTTGGCGGTTTGTTTTTTTTTTTAAATATCTCCTCTCTAACTTTTAGGATTCTTACCTTCTAAACTCCTCCTTTATATCCCCCCCCCACCTTCTCTCCTACTTTTCTTTCTTGAGAGACATCAATGTAATAGTGTTAGGTTTCTGATGTTTTTTACGAAGTTTGAAATATTTAACACTAGTTGTTCTTTAATATCATTCGGGGGGGCAGTATTTGGAGAAAGGCACTGCAGGCTTACACTTGATTTTTTTTTTTTCTTCTAATGGGCAATGGAGAGGAACCAGCAGATGTTATGAAAAGGTGTCTTTTAAAAGAAAATTAAGCAAAATTAACACTAATTGTCTAGATTGACCATGAGTACTAAGAACATACACCACTCTAGTTGCTGTCGTGATTTCAATTACAGCATTGTAACTTATAGTTTTAAATTTTATTAAGTGCTTGTGCTGATTTTTTTTTTCATGGTGGCCTGCCCCCCATGAATGCAAAAGGCTTTTTTGCAATTTACTCTTAACATATCCACTGTGTATTAGACAACTCTATTAATTATTATAGACTGTTATTGCAGCTTTCCTGACCTTCACATTGGGTCCTATCTGTGCTGATCTAAATGCATTGTTTTAATGATTTCCCCCCCAAAAAAGAGAGAGGGGGGGAAAAAAAAAAGAAAAAAATTCAAGGCAAGCTTTGATGTGGCTTTAGCTGCCTCGATCATCTGGCCGCATCTCAGAGATGTGTCACCTATGCCGGGAGGGAATAGGGAAATCACGTTTTGAATGGTAATGATAACATACTAATCACTTCCTTTCTTTGAAGATAGAAGCGAGATATTCTGTCAGCATCCCTGGCTGCTAGAGCTTGGAGGCACTGGTCTAGGTGTATTAGCTTAAGTGTGCATGTCAATACAGCTTGCATCTCCCAAGATCCATAGGGGCTCATTAGAGCAAGGTAGATCGTTTCGGTAGACAGCCACTCAGATAATATGTATGGCACCTCCTTTTTTTATTATTATTAGAAAGCATTTCTTCAATTTTAAAATGACATCTGTCGACAAGGCAAAGTTGTAGGAAATATTTTTTGATAAATATCCAGAATGTTGTTTTTGGGTAAAGGGGTGCTCGGAAAGGTGTGTGTGATTACTTTACTGGGGGGGGTGTCTTATATTTTTTGATGGCTTGATTAGAGCTAGTCTAGGATCAAATTTCCAAAGGAAATGAGCTTACATGCTGAAATGTTGGTGTTTTGGATGGAGAATAAACTAATGAAAATAATAATTTCACTTTTTCACTATTGCAGACTCCCCAAGTGAAAATGTATTGGAAGACGCATTTTTACTAGAGTTTATTTATCTCATAAATGGGCAAATGACTTCTGAGAAAAATACCTTATACCTGCATGTGTGTATATATTCATATAGGTATTTAGGCATTAGAGTTGTAAATCAAGAAACCAGTGTTTTGTTTCTACACCTTTTTAGATCAAACAGTCTGAAGAATATTCATGCTGTTCAGTATTCTGTATGAATAGCTCATTGTTTTTATCACCTCACTTGACTAGTACACATAAAGGAAATATATCCTCTGCTGAAAATTAAGTTCATGTTAAAAACTACCACTTGCATTTAAAGTGATGGTTTCATCAAACTGTAGTTCAATAGAAATCATGGGTGCTTGCATACATGTGTCACAGGGAAAATCTATTTTGGAAATGCTCTTCAGACACGTTTCCTGTATAATAGTCACATTCTGGTTTGTGAGTTCATATAAAAGAGTGAAGCACATATTCCATGTTTCAAAACAAAAATGATTGGTACACATAATTATGATTGATCATAGAACCTGCCCCTTCCAGTGGTCCTCGTAACAGGCTCTTCCATAAAATATACGTGGATATTTTTATGTTTCGGAATATGAAAGCACAATTAAAAAGAGGGGGAGAACATTGTAGACTGCTGCCTGATTTATTTTTTTTCTCTCTCTCCCCTTTTCTTTTTCAGAGGGCACATCTGCTCGATAACACAGAGAGGCTGGAAAGGTCATCTCGGAGACTAGAGGCTGGATACCAAATAGCGGTGGAAACCGGTAAGAATTCTGAGAGTGAGCAAATTGTCTTGCTTATGCACAGCAGTCTTCACAACACATGACATTTCAGGGAAACTTCAAAGGCGAAACAGAGACAGCAGCCCGAGATGTGGTTTACATATTGGGGAGACAATTGGGAGCTTATTTGCGCTTATCTTTTTTCAAGTTAAAAGGCATGACATCTACTGAAAACAGTTCCTGAGGTTTAAAAGTATACATCTGAAAAGAGATGGAATACTTTGTCTAAATTCTACATTTGTCTTAATATGCAGTTACATGTTGTCAGTTTACCCACCCGCAATGATTGCTAGCACACACTGCAGACACCAGGTTTTTTGTCTTTCACTTTTATTCATATATGTAAAAAATATCATTTTAATAAATTTATAAGCTATTGACTACAGATTATATATAACAAGGTTATCAGCTCAATTTTCTTGCAATCAGTTCAGTGACTGATTATGCAGCTGTTTCTGTGCAATGAAAGAAGTAAGCAAACCATACCCCAAAATATACAGATGGAATCAAATTAAGGGAGAAGGCTAAATTGAGGCTCAGTTATTGAATTAGTGGGTTTTTTATTGACTACAACTTTTCAGTTGGTATTTTCAAAATGTTTTTACTAAGTTTTAGCAATTTATAGTGGATTTTTTTTAAACCAGCAATAGCTAAGCCTCCAAAGTCTAATCCCCTTAAATAAAGCTTGCACAAAGTTACAGAAAGTTTCAGAAAATGTATGTTTGAGCAGTGAAGTAATTTTCTGGCAGAGAGTCCCAATTAATTGATATATTCCAATATCTTTTTAGAATTCAAGCCTTATTTAAGAGGTAAATTAAGTTGAACCCTTGTAGAGTTAAATATGGCTATGTTAAATGAATGGTATTACTAAAGTGCCTGCATTTTAATTATTCTGGGCTTAGTGCTGTGCACAATAATGGAATGGATGTATGGAACATACAGTGTAGATTTTGGAGGGGACAAGGAGAATTAATTCTCTTATGCCAGAGGATGACACATTAGTAGAGATGGACATATGATAGCAATTAAGTTTGCTTTCCTGCAGATTTTCAGGTCTGTTCTGTCAATGGTCATAACTTTTTTTTTTTTTTTTTAAAAGGACTATTTTAAACTGGTCAAAAATGGTTCCTGATCTGCTTTAGTTGAGCCTAGATCTTTCACAAAGAAAGAGTATATAAAAATTCAGACTGATCCTTTTGGGGAAGAGATACCTTATATCCTTTTCTACTCCATGTGGATTTTTTTTATAGAGATGATGATCATGTTAACTTCCATTGCATATCTCCATGGTGATCTCTCAGAAATATGGTTGGCATGCAAATGTATATTTATATGGAAGGAGAGTCTTTCGGTATCAAAACCAGGTGAAACTGCATTGAATTGCATAAAGTCACACTAATTCACCCCATCTTTGTGTCCGTCTTTTCATCTTGAGCAGTTTTATATATATTTCTTGTTCCCTAAACTCTGTGAAGACTAGTAGTGTAGCATAGTAGTGTCATATTATATGACATATTAATATTAAATAATTTGGAGATGATGACTTTGGAAATATTAACTTCATTATAATGTAGATTTTTGCAGAAGATTTTTATGGAAACGGATTAATTATATTTAGTTCCTGGCATGGATCATGCTGATTCCAGGTATGAGTGAATTTAGATTAATTCAGTGCAATGAAAGAATTTACTTTTGGAGTTACTGTATGATCATTCTGTGTTGAGGTGTCATAATAAAATATGCCATTTTGGAGTTTCAGTTCATTGTTGAGTTGACTCCTCAGATGCTGTCTTGCCTTGATTATTACTTTTGTTGCATAAAGATCTTCTCTACACAGCACTGTTGAGGCCACATCTGGAGTGCTGTTTCCAGGTCTGGGCTCCATGGTACAAGAAAGACATTGGCTTACTGGACTGAGTCCAGCAAAGGGCCATGAAGAGAATTAAGATACTGGAGCATCTTTCATGTGAGGAGAGGCTGAGAAAGCTGACACTGCTCAACCTAGAGAAGAGAAGGCTCAGGGGGAGCTTATCAATGTGTATAAATAGCTGATGGGATGGAATAAAGAAGAGGGAGCCAGACTCTTCTCAGTAATGCCCAGTGACAGGACAAGAGGCAATGGGCACAAATTGAAACCTGTGAAATTCCATCAGAACACAAAAAAAAACCCATTTACTGTGGGAATGGCCAAACACTGAAACAGGTAGCCCAAAGCGATTGTGGAGTCTCTCTCTGTGAAGATATTAAAAATCCAGGTGGGCATGGTCCTGGCTGTAGGTGACCCTGCTTGAGCAGGGTCTTGGACTAGATGATCTCAAGAGGTCCCTTCCCACCTCAGCCATTCTGTGATTCTGTGAGGAGGAGGAGGTGGAGGTGACAACCTTTAAGTATCTATTCTACTTTATTTATGTGGTGTCTTTTCACAATCACGGATACATGTTGCTTATTGTAATGAAGCTGGATGATTTTCACCTCTGGAATAAGTCACATTTGGTTCTTTCTTATTACCTTAATCAGCAAAAATACATATACTATTTTAACCTGCCCCTGTGATCATCTAAGGATTAATCTGACATCACATAACTAATTTAATGCAATTTCACATTACCATTCCTGAAACTTACCATGATAAATTGGATGCTTTTTTCCTGTTTGCATCTTTAAATTGATAAGCCCTTTCATCTTATGTACAGTTGTTCATACAAGCTGAGATCTGTTGGAAGGTCTGACTTCCTTCTTTGAGCAGTGCCATTGATTCATGGGCTTCAGTGGTGTCTGAACAGGATGCCACTTATGTCACCATCTCTAAGACACAATCCAACACTGACTGTCAGGCTTTCATAGTTTGTTGGCTATCATTTGTTGATACTGAGGATGCTTAAATCTATGCAGAAACCTCCTGAAGGACTAAGCAAAGCCTTTAGTATCTGGTAACTAGTTCTGTAGTACTCAAGGCCTGCTGTAAAGAGAAGAACGTTATTCTAAATATTGTTAGGGGTATGTTGCAAATTTAACAGGCGTTTGAGTAGCTGATTTGGTAGACCAGAAAGTTCATCAGAGCATTTGCATTTTAATTGCCTGAGATGTATGGCACAAACACGAGGGAAATGTCTCAGGACATACAGGGAAACCACTGGCTGTTTGAATCTTGAAGGTCTCCGTTGTTTGTACCAAGTAGGGGAAATTTTAATAACAGCTGATAACACTGCAAAGTGCACTCATCTGCTTTTTTTAAATCAAAATATTGTTTTAAAAAATATTTCTTGTTGTTATTTTTCTGGTTTTATGTTATCATCTGCTTTGCTGATAAGGAACAGACAAGCAAGTTTACAGCCTGGTTAGTAGGCACTTCCAACACCACTCATACTTATGACGCTAGAGCTCAGTATTCTTAATTTCAGATCATTTAGTCTGACCATATAGCCTCAGAATGTGAGAAGGATTTTTAAAAACGTATGAAAATTGCTCGTTTCAGTCAAAAGGAGAGTCCGTTGAATTAATCCTGATTAATCACAAAATTCTTCCTGTTTTGGAGGGAGAGATTTCCTAATTCCACTCCCTGTGCTCGGTTTTCCACAGCATCAAATTGAATTCTAGAACTTCCTTATTTTGCCTGCAGAGTGTAACGTAGTAAGGTATCCCCTTCTTTGTCAAGTCTTAGATACGTTGGCTCAGACAGGAGTATGTTGAATAAGGAATAGTTCAAAATGCTTCATTCATCTTCAGAGATAAAATTGGCATGCAAATGTAAAACACTGTCAAGGAGAAGAAGAGCAAACCTTGTTGTAGAGGACCATTGTAATCTGCAGTTGAATTGCTTTCAGCAAGTTCTTCTCAACTGCCAGATACTTTCTAGGGAAAAAAATCCTGGTGTTTATATAATACAGACTTCATGACAACGTAAGAGAGAGATCCAACCAGTGAATGTTGTCCAGGCTTTCATGGCAAAACTACGTTGCAGGTACTTTTTTTTTTTTTTTCCCCTTCATGAACCTTAGATATTTCTATAGCTTTCAGTACATGTAATTTGAGAACAAGTGTTGAGCTTGCCTCTGTGAGTGATGATTATTGGATATTATGCTGTGGCTCTGAATCTCTCTGAAATATCTGTGCTACTAGATGAGTTTGTAGTTTGTGGGTAATGGATCTATTCTTTGCACTGAATCTTAAAATTTTGTCTTGGCTTCTGTTTTTATATCCCTTTTGTGATATGTAAACATGATGTTTTAAAGAAAAGAAATCAAAGGAAGAAAAACTCTCTTGTTCCATTTACAGAAAATCCTTCTGAATCTCGACTTTAGGTTGCTTAAATTTTTTTTTCCAAACCTCATTACTCTTTGGGAATCCCAGGAATATGTAATTCTGAAATAGTTAAAGGAGAAATATCTCTGAGCAAGAGACACAACAGCTTATTTCCCACCCTTGTGTGACATGAGTAATTCTCGGTACTAAGGGATCCAAGCAAATTTCAGTGGCTTTCACTTGTTGTAATGAACTACAGTCAAATCTCCCTTTCTGGACTGAGCCATAAGTATATAATGTAATGTAGTGGTAGCCTAGCTGACAGGCAGATGGTTAGACCTGCCTCAAAGTATCGGCAGCCTTCTAGGTGGAAAGCAATTGAGAATCTCATTAGACAAAGAGGTGGTTTTACTTCTTTATGAAATAATAGTAGTTACTGTCTTATCTGGATGCAGAATTGAGTGAAAGTACAGTGAATGGATCAGTGAAAATGTGTTAAGAAATGTTTATAGAGGGGTCCTGAAGGCAGGAGTCTTCAAGTTCAATGACTTTAGCATGAATAGGGAACTATTTTAGAACGACTCCAGTAGGTGCCTTCCCGGATGTGGGTAATGGAATTTGAGGTACTAGCACATTGTCCACAGCAGCATGCCACACATTTGGATTCCTGACTCCTTTACTGATGGAACAACCTGAACCCCAGGCATGTCCCCTGAAGGACCTTCTCCCTCCATATTTCA